CATTGGCCTACTTTACAGTACAGCATAAGTCCCTTAGGCTTTTTTCATTTTTTCTTTTTATTCCTGACTGGATAATTTCAAATGACCTATCTTTTAGTTCGATGATTCTTTCTTCTGTCTGATCAACGCTGATCTTGAATTCCTCTAATTTTTTCAGTTCAATCATTGTATTCTTCAGCTCCAAAACTTCTCTTTGGTTCTTTTTATACTTTCTACCTCTTTGTTATTTTCATTTTGTTCATATATCATTTTCTTGAGTTCATAGAACATCTTTATGATGATTATTTTGAATTGTTTGTCAGGTAATTCATATACCTGCTTCTTTAGGGCTGGTTTTGAAGATTTATCTTGTTCTTTGTAGGGGCCATGTTTCCCTTTTTCTTTGTGTGTCTTGTAGCTTTGTGTTGCAATCTGCACATTTGAAAAAACAGGCATGACTTTTAGACTGTACATACTGGCTTTGTAAAGGGGAAGACACCAATCACCTTGACTAGGGAATTAGGCATTCTCTGACACTTTTGTAGGGGATAGGACTTCTCTGGGCCTGCGTGTGCAATTCCTCAATTAGAAAGGCTTGCTGGTTTCTGTTTCAGGAGATCATAATCTCTTGCTCCCTCTGGTGTCTGCCTGCAGCACTGCAAGTTCTCTGGTTCTCAGAAGCAAGCTGGCTTGCTCTCTCTTGTTCTCAGGGGCTGCCAGGCATCCAAAGTATGCCAGTTTCCTGTCAGTGCCATAAGTCAGGTGAGACAGATACAAGTCCCCTGGCAGCCCTCCAAAAAGCCAGAATGCAGGACTCACACTCAACTCCCCTCCCTCCTAAAGGGGAGAACCCATGGCCTGGGGTATTATCTTCCAGTGTGGAGCTGTGCCAACTTGAGAGAGGGGCGATCATGAGTAAAGCAAAACAGTTCTTCTTACCCACATCAATGTGGCTGTTCTTGGCTTTCAGATCATCTGGGGTATTGCAATATCTGAACTGTTTACCAGAGTTCTCATAATGGTATTTTGGTCTGTATATAGTTGTTAAGTATCTCTGTGGGGAATGAGAACTGGGACTTCCTATTTTGCCAGTTTGCTCTTTTTCACTGGTCTTTTTATTGCCTTCTAATGTGCATGTCTGGTCTCCTCAAGGAGACATTTTGAAGGTAGAGGCCTACTTTTCTATGCACTGAAATGATTTAGGTTCAGAGAAGATTCTTAACAATTACTTATTGAATGAAATCTGCTTTAACATAGTTTAAAGTTTTCATACTTTTTGGAAGATAATACATCTCTGTTAGCCTTCATCCTAGATCATGCCTAGATCATGCCTGTCTAAATGTACTGTTTTTACAGGGCTCCAAATAAATTCCTCAAGACCTTATCTTAAAAATCCTACTTTGAATCTGCGCTGCAAGAAAAAGCACATATTTTTACAGTGCCACATATGCTTATTTAGCTTTTGTAAAAATCATAATCCAGAACTGTAGAATTTCCATCCTTCCTCAAGGCATGGGCATATATAATTTCTTCCCGAAAGCCTCTCCAATGCTCCAATTAGAACTCATTCATTCATTCATCAAATATTTAACAGGCACCTCTTATGTGACAGGCACTCTTTTAGGCTGTGTGGGCTACTCTGTAGCTCTGATTATGTTACAGAACTTCTCATAGCTTTTCTTTAATGTTAATGTATGTAAGTTGTTCCTTCTTCAACTGTGGGCTTCTAGAGGGAAGGAACTGTGTCCAATTCACCTCTGTAACCCTGGAATCTGTACAATGCTTTGCACATAATTGAGATGAAATACAAGAGTGCTAAAACAAACTCCAAACAGCTAGATTGGGGAAAATAAAGTCTTCTAAACCATCTCAGTTTGCTGAAGAACCAGAAAGGCTGAAGTGCCCTATAATCAGGTGTCATATAAATTCCACCAGATCTCAATTAATTAGCTTCTTTTATGCTTCTTTCTAATCCTTCTGGAAAATGTGTTGATGACTATTTTCTATCCTTTACTTAAAGGGTACTAACAAGTTAGTGATCCATATTTCAGTTACATGTATATCAAAACAAGTCAGCAATAAAAATGGAAATGCACTCAAGTGATTTCCAGAAATATAAAAATCACCATCACTAGCCACCACCACCCTCCACTTCCCCAACTTAGAACATACCCTCCTCTCCCAACTATCACAAACTCTAACACAGCAGTATTAGAATTGACATCTAGAGAATGAAAAGCCAAAAGGAACAGCAGAAACCAGAAAGTGCCACATATAGAGGGGATAAAATGTGTTTGACAAACTAATGTCCCAGGTTCCCAGTTGTAAACTGAACAAAATAAACACAGAATGTGGTGAAATCCACTGGTTGGGAGATTAAAAGCTTTCTGAGTATCAAGAAACCTTGAGGTCACAAGTAAAGGAATATTATTCAAAGAAAACTGGGGATTTCAAAATACAGGGAGAGGATCAAGCTACTTTTACAATCTCCTGGCACATAGTAGGCACTCAGTAAATGAAAGCTATTATGAGAAGCTAAGGTCTAGCTCAAATGTCCCTCCTTTGTGATATCCCGGGCAGAGGCTAACTGAGCTCCTTCCTCTGTGCTCCATTATACTCTGTACAGGTTTCCAACACATGTACAGGTTTCCAACACATGCAATTTACATGTCTATTCCCACTCCTATGCAGGAATTTCCTGGATGGTTGGGATCATGTGTTATGCTTCTCTGGAACTGGAAATAGTAGGTGCTTACAATTTTTAAGTGGGAGAATAAACAAACTACCTCATACAATAAGAAAAGGTTTCGATCAGAAAAGAATGAACAGCTAGGACGGAAGATCTTGTCTATAGTCTTCCTGCTCATTCCTTCACATTTCAAACGTCTCTTTTGTTACTTGTTCTGTTCAAAGTACATTTACGTATCTTCTTCCATTAGCAATATAGAATAGGTTTCACAGAGTAAATTCTTCCAGATGATGCAGCATGCAACAGTGGGAGAGCATGGGGTTTGGTTTTATAGTTTTTACTTCTTATTTTGAAATAATTTTAAATTGGTAATGGAAGAATATAAATTATATACTTTGAACAGGACAAGTAACAAAAGAGAATGGCTTTTAAATGTGAAAGAATATGCAAGAAGACTTAAAAACAGGATATGATGCAAGAATAGTAGAGTTCCCTTCAGCCAGTACCCCTACTGTTAACACCTTACAAAACCATAGTATAATTACTGAAAGCAGGAAGTGAGCCAATAAAATTACTATTCTATAGACCTTATTTGAATGTTCAAGTTCTCTCACTAACGTCATTTTTCTGGTCTAGGATCCCACATTACATCTAACTGTCAGATCTCCTTAGTTTCCTCCAGTCTGTGACAGTTCTCCAACCTTTCCTTTTCTTTCATGACACTGACACTTTTGAAAAGTACAAGCCAATTTTTGTGTAGAATGTCCCTTAATTTGGGTTTGACAGACCTAGGTTGGACTCTTGACTCCATGACTTACTATCTATGTAGCCCTGGGCAAGCCAACCTCTCTGGGACTCAAGTTTCCTCATCTGTAAAATGATGTAATAATACTGACTTTCTGTGTTAAAAATTAAATGAAGCAATATATATTAAAATACCTGGAATATAATAAGGCCATACCACAAATGCTAAGTCTCTTCTCCTTGCCCCTGCCTTTCAACTATTTCTGATAGAATTTTGCTAAATGTGTAACCCGTATTTCAATGCCTTCTTTTATAGATAAAACCACATATAACTTAGCCCTCAAGTGATGACTCAGTGTCATCACTATAAATAGCCATTATTGCACTGTGTAACAGTTCTAGGTCTGTGTTTTTTGTTCTCTCTCACTGCAGTCCCTTCTCATTGTCAGTATACCTACATGTAAGGGCCTCATCATTTCCTTTCTGATTTTCAGCTTGAAACATATGGGGTTCCATTTATTTACTTATATATTCATCAAAGACATACTGAAGCTACTGTGTCAGGCCCTGTGTTAGGATCTCGGAGAAAGTGATAAATTAGCTCCTGTCCTCCTTGATTTTATGGCTAGTTGGGGAAATGGACAAGTAAACAGTTAATTACAATTCAATGTGATTAATTCTATGAATGACATAATGCAGAGGAGCATATAAGAAGAACACCTAACCTGGACTTGGGGAAAGAGACAGGTTGGGGAAGGTTTCATAAAGAAGGTACCATTATGTCTCAGTAAAGGTCTGCAGAATGTGTAGAAATTAACCAGATGGAGAAGGAAAGAGAGCAAAAGGCACACAGTTTAGGACGAGCTATTAGAAATACGTGCTGAGTAAAAGTAGTTCTGAAAAATAAATCTCCTGTGTTATAAACTTGCAGCTTGAGAGCGATTTTGTGCCAATACCTCAGGGGCTCAGAAACTTGACCAAGAAAATTCTGGCCCCAGGGCTGTGTTCTGGAGACTGCAGTTGACAGGCCTAAACCTTTGGATATTATGCTGAGCTTACCTCTTTCAACATCTGTGAACCGAAGTAAAATTTAAGGCTACAATTGGCTGCTTGTTCCCATGTCAAAAGTATAACAGGTTTGCCCCTTTCTGACAGAGGAGTTTCTTGCTTCAAAAAAATATATCAATGGTCATCAGAAAGTCCTTTTTAAACTGACCCTTTTAACTGAGCTGGTAAGATAGGTTTTGAGACTTTCCCAGCTGTCTTCCCTTCTACAGCACTCATTCCTATGGCCTCAGAGGTTTGCCTTTGAGCTTAACTCATTCCAAAGCCCTAGTCTGACCATGTAAATTTATGATCTCAGCAAGTGCTACAAGTATATTACCCATCAAATACTGGAAATTAGGAGAATGCAATATAAGATTTTCAAATTAAGAGGTTTTTCTGCCAGTTCCTATTTTACTCTCCCAATCATCTTCACTTTTTTTTTTTTTTCCAATCTGGAGAGTAAATAAGCTTTTAGTTTTCTCCACAGGGGATATTTCTCAAATCTTAGCTGCTTCTAACTCAAAGCAATAATATTACATACCGTCAACTGGTGTATGAGGAGGTCCATTAAGAAGGTAATCTTGTTACTAAACAGAACATCAGTGCAGTTTTCTGAACAGTTATTGCAGGTGAGGTTGTAAACATTGATTGCATTGCAGAGAGACCTAACAGAAGGAGAAAAACAACTCTTATAAAACTTGTGCAGCTCTTCTCTAAACAATTTAAAATACATAAAATGAATGGTATATAAGCAACAGGCATGGGATAGAAGTCACTCTAAAAAAAAAAATAAGCCAAATATTACTAGGTGCAAGGTCCATCAGCTAGATATAAAAGCTTGTAATTTTTATCCACAGCCCAGTGTTCATTAGTAACTAATTCTTGCCTCTTATTAATTTCTTAGTTGCAGCAGCAGGCAATGGAAATGTACTTACCAGTCTACTGACAAGGTCTTAATCATCTAAGATTAGATATTACCCAGGAATTTTGGGATCTAGAATTCTTTGAATAATACCTAGAAAAAAAGGTCTGCCAAAGCTCCTGTTGCTAGATCTCCTGGTCGACAAGGGCAGATGATGGAAGAAGGGAGCACACGTGAGGAGAAACTAGAGGCTTTCCCTGTGAGACAAGAACTGCAGAGTTCTGGGGAGTGAGCACCACACCTGCTCAGAGACTGAGCAGGGGAGGATCTAGAGAGTAAAACAGTCTAAGGTCAAACCCATCAAAGAAATGTTTTTTTTTTTCTTAAGGATTAAAAAATTATATGCCACTGTTCAAAGAAACATTTGGAGCAACACTCAATGGGTATTCTTCTGAGTGCTTTGAAAACTGTGATTAACCTGCATTGCCTGAGTGATCAATGTTGATTCCTGCCTGTCTGACTAAATCTCCTGCTTAAGTCCTATGTATAAGTGTTTTGATTTAGTCCCTTACAACCAATCCTCTAGAACAATTCTTAAAGTGTGAACCATGGACCAGTAGCATCAATATCACGTGGGAACTTTTAGAAATGCAAATTCTCAGGTTCCACCCCAGATTACTAAGTACTAGAAACTTTGGGGGTAGAGTCCAGCAATTTGTGTTTTAACAAATTTCACAGGTAATTCTGGTGCATCTTTAAGTCAGAGGACCACTGTTCTGGAATAGGGGCTCTAGAGTTTGACAGAGCACTAGCATCACCTGTATATCTTTAAAGATATATACTTGCCTGAGTTCCTCCCCTGGAGATGCTAGTTGGGGAATGGGAGGGCTCTAGACATCTGCATGTTTCAAAGGTTCTATGAGCAGTTCTGATGTATAGCTAGAGTTGAAAAGTACAGGTCTAAGAACCAACAAGTGAGTACTCATTCATTCAACAAATATCTAAGTGCCTATGACTTCCCAGGCTCTGTGCTAGGTGGACAAGACAGACAAGCTCTCTGTCCTCATGGAGCTGATGCTCTAGTAGGAGAAAGATGGTGAAGACAGCCCCTCTTGTAATCATCTGTTTGTCTGATATAGTTATATCTTGCTTCACATAATTGATAGGTTCCTGAAAACTGAGCATTAGAATACATTGGTTAAGAGTAGAGGTACTGGAATAAGACACTAGGTTAGAAACCCAGTTGTGTCATTTGAGGTTTTAGCAAGTTACTCATTTAATATCTTAGCATCCATTTTCTTACCTATAAAACTGAGATAATACCTAAGCTTCACATGGTTATCATGAGAATTAAATGAGATAACAGATGTAAAATATTATACTTAGGACAGTGCCTGGCACATGCTTAAATACTTAATAATGATAGACTTCGTTAGGCTTATTAATCTTATTATTCTTGTTAAGAATAATGCACAAATAAAACATTAAAAAATCCAAAGTGTGCTATAGAAGCTATTATTTCCAGGATAATAAAGCACAGTGTGTCCCAAATTTTTTCATGGTACACTGGCATGAACAATGAAAGGGGGCTTCCCTGGTGGCGCAGTGGTTGGGAGTCCGCCTGCTGATGCAGGGGACAAGGGTTCGTGCCCCGGTCCGGGAGGATCCCACGTGCCGCGGAGCGGCTGGCCACGTGAGCCGTGGCCGCTGGGCCTGCGCGTCCAGAGCCTGTGCTCCACGGCGGGAGGGGCCACGGCGGTGAGAGGCCCGAGTACCGCAAAAAAAACCCAACCAAACAAACAACGAAAGGACTCTAAATTGAAGGGAGCCAGGAGGAGGCTCAGCTCTGGCCTGACTTAATCCCTGAGGATTGTACAGGAAAACGTGGCCTACATGTAACTCATTTATGACACATTGGTTGGAGGCGCTACCTAACAAATTCTCCACAAATGCAAATCAGCATTATTTCAGTTATTAGGTAACATATTTAGATTTTTCAAGAGGGCTTTTCAATTTAAAAAATAACATGTATTTGTGATTTTAAAAATAATTTTAGATAACTGTCATAACTTTGGGAAAGAGAAGCACAAATAAACAGTAAAAAACTATCAAGAGATGATTGGTATTTGTACTTCCAGTCTTCTCTTCTTACAAATATTCACTTAGTTAATATGTGTACAATGAATATTTCTCCATGACATTTAATATTCTTCTATAGGGACTTCCCTGGCAGTCCATTGGTTAAGACTTTGCCTTCCAATGCGGGGGGTGAGCGTTTGATCCCTGGACGGGGAGCTAAGATCCCACATGCCTTGGGGCCAAAAAACCAAAACATAAAACAGAAGCAGTATTGTAACAAATTGAATAAAGACTTTAAAAATGGTCCACATCAAAAAAAATCTTAAAAAAAAAAATTCTTCTATAACACTGGTCTTCAATTTTTTTTAAAAAAGCAGTAGAATGCTTTCTTACTCAGAAGCTTAAAAGCTAACAAAATCTTTTTCAGAAGCTTAAACCAAAGAACAGATAAAATCAGACCTCTTCTGACTGAAGCAGAAGTGGGGGACCCAGGACCCTACTTTGTTCTCTCAAAGAGCCTTGAAGGGTTCCTCAGAGACCTGGGGACACCTACAGGTGTGTTCCCTTGGAGTACAGTAAAAACTACTGAGCTTCAATACAAATAAAATTTAACTTGGTAACTTTTTGAATAGGAATGATGACCTTAGTACAACACACACAGAAAAGCATGGTGAAAAGGATCTCCCTCTTACTTATTTCCCTCAGCCACTCAGTTCCCTACCTTAGAAATCACCATGGTTACTAGTTTACATATCCTTCCAGAAGTAGTCTGTGCATATGCAAGAGTTGTTCCCTCCCACACAAATGGTATCATACAAGATGTGGAGGGTGAAGTGAGCCAAGGCCATCTTCCCGTGCCACTGGTTGTTGTCCTTATCAAGCAAGGTTTGGAAAAGTGAGGTTTTCCTGCAGTAGTATTCAGGTTCCATTTCCCGAATTCTGTGTGTCAAGAACCAGTGGGATAACTTGTACTACTTGACTTGATTTCCTAACCTCTGATCTGCAGCCTTAAGTACCCATTCTGTGGTTTCCTGGTTGTGAGAGAAAGTTGTGTGTGGCATTAGCTTATTTCCTTCCAAACTTGTGTTTGGTCTTTGAGGGAGCAGTGCCCCCAGTGGATATGTCTGATATTGTTTTGGAGTCAACAACAAAAGGTCTACAACTTTTTCCAACAGTTTTGTAAACATCTAATTTCTTATTTTAAATCCCTTTTCTGATTAAAATACTTACATTGAGAAATATTATAGATTTTAAAAGATGTAACAGTGTCATCCAATGGATATAAAATTTTACTTCAATCAATCCCTTACTATTGTGCCCAATTTTCAACGTTATAAACAACACTGTTTTAATATTCAGAGTTCTTAGTTATATGCCACAGGAAGTAAGCTCTGGTTGACTTAAATATTAAGGAAATTAACTGACAGGCTATTGGGTATATCATAGATTTAGAAAACACGGGCATAGAAGTTACACTGCCCGGACCAATATCCAAATCACATACCATGAAATTGATCTGCTAAAAAAAACACTGGGCACCATATGCCACAGCTTGAACTCACACTATGATTTTGGACACCAGATGCAGCTGCCTCCAATTGTCAAAAGAATAGAGTTTGGGATGTCCTTGCTTCTTACTTCATTAGCCTCAGAGTAAAAGTCTGGAGTGGGTATCTTGGATTGTGAAGCCTAGGTCACAAGTTTATATACTAGACACAAAGAATACTGGGAAGCAAATACCTGGCATTCTCATGCTCTATAGTGGGAGGGCCACATTATATGCTTGGGAGCTCCACAAACATAGGATGTGCTCAATAACACAACTCATGTTCACAATAACTGTACCTAACAAATCCTTCTGCTTCCTTAGGATGAATTTTCAGCAATGATAATTTGAGTCAAAGGATATGAACATTTAAGATTTTTGACAGACACTGCAAAATTCAAATTGCCCGCCAGAAAAAAATATTTTAAACCAATTTATACTCCGGAAAAAGAGTTTCTCCATGTTTTAACCAACACCAGATAATTTCATTATAAACAACTGTTACTGATCTGACAGCTAAAACTGGAATTTTTTTTTTTTGCGGTACATGGGCCTCTCACTGTTGTGGCCTCTCCCGTTGCGGAGCACAGGCTCCGGACGCGCAGGCTCAGCGGCCATGGCTCACGGGCCCAGCCGCTCCGCGGCATGTGGGATCTTCCCGGACCGGGGCACGAACCCGTGTCCCCTGCATCAGCAAGCGGACTCTCAACCACTGCACCACCAGGGAAGCCCTAAAAATGGAATTTTTAAAGGTTGCATTTCTTTTATTACTAGTGTGATCAAAGACTTTTTCATGTGCTTATTGCCAATGTATATTTATATTTTCTTGAATTATCACTGTGAACCTTTTACCCATTTTTCTATTGGGGGGGTCTCTCTTTTTCTTATTGATTTATAAGGCTCTTTATCAATAATAAAGATATTAACCTTTTATCATCATATGTAGCAAATAACTTTTCCAGTCTGTTGCTTATCTAAATTTTTTGTTTTTTGTCATAAAGAATGTTTTCATTTTTATTTGATAAAATCTGTCAAACTTTCCCTTTAGTACACCTGGGTATTGTGTAAAACTTAGAAAGACCTTCCCTCTTCAAGATTATAAAAACATTCTTTTAAATTTACTTCTGGCATTTTCATAGATTTTTACATTTAAATGCAAGCTATGAAATTGATTGTGG